ACCGACCACCCTGCAGCCACAGCTCCGTACAGCCACTTCCACAATGGAGGTCCGGAACAGTGTGCATTCAGACTCAATGTCCGCAACCTCCCCCGGTATGCAGTTGGAATCCTGCCAGAGGTGCGAGTTAAAGCTCCGGCGAACAGGAGCCTCTGCCAGATCTTCCCAGCAGACCCTTACTATGCGCTTGGACCTACCAGGCCTGACCGGCTTCCTCCCCCGCCACCTGAGCCAACTCATCACCAGGTGGTGATCAGTTGACAGCTCTGCCCCTCTCTTTACCCGAGTGTAAAAGACAGAAAGCCGCAGATCAGATGATACGATTATGAAATCGATCATCGACCTGTAGCCCCGGGCATGTTCGTACCATGTCCACTTATGGACACCCTTATGCTCGAACTTGATGTTCGTTATGGACAAACCATGCATTGCACAGAAGTCCAATAACAGAACACCACTCAAATTCAGATCAGGGAGGCCGTTCCTCCCAATCACCCCCTTCCAGGTCACACTGTCATTGCCCACGTGAACGATGGAATCCCCTCATAGCACGCCAACCAGCATACCACTAAGGGAATCCAAAAAGGCCGGGTACTCTGAACCGACATTCGGCGCATAAGCGCAGATGACAGTCAGAGACCTATCCCCGACCCGAAGGCGCAGGGAGACAGCCCATTGTTAATGCACCGAGCTGTGGGGCCACCAGTAGCCCCACCCCAGCCCGGCGTCGCTCACCCGCGGCAACTCCAGAAGAAAAGAGCGTCCAGCCCCTCTCCAGGAGATTGGTTCCAGAACCCAAGCTATGTGTTGAGGTGAGCCCGACTATATCTAGTCGATATCTCTCAACCACACACACAAGCTCAGGCTCCTTCCCCACCAGAGAGGTGACATTCCATGTCCCGAAAGCCAGTTTTGTCACCCGGGGATCGGACCGCCCGGGCCTCCCTTGGCCGACACCCGATCCACAAAGCACCGAACCCCTGACATTCCCCTTGCGGGTGGTGGGCCCACCTGGGGACAGTCCCGCGTGCCTCTTTCGGGCTACGCCCAGCCGGGCCCCACGGGCCAAGGCCCGGCCACCAGGCGCTCGCCAACGGGCCCCTCCCCCAGGCCTGGCTCCAGGGTGGGGCCCCGGTGACCCTAGTCCGGGCGAGGGAAACGGGACTTTGTTTGAATACCTTATCATAGGGTTCTTTTGGATTGCTCTTTGTATGGTCCCTCCCCTGTATCGGCGCCAATCCAGACCTGTTTGACAGATCGAGTATCCATGACCGATCCACGTCCTATACTTACTTATTTAGTTTTTGGCAGTCTCTAAAAAGATATCTCCTATCTTGTGTAAAATCGATTTCTACAATCATCTCAATGGTCTCAGGGTTTTTGTGCTTTTTATATGAGAAAATTTGAAACTATTGCAAAAGTTGTAAAGCTGTTAGGTATAGGTACCATAGTGACCCCAGACATTGATTGGTAGGCGTCCATGGTCCTGCAGGTAATCCGTCAACTTCAGCTCTGTTGTCAGTCAGGTATTGATTTGAATGCATTGCCCAGGGCAGAGTGGTCACCCTTGGGTTAAATGAATTTTGATTTCTGCTGAATGTTGGTAATTAACTTTAATTTAATGGTCCACTTTTTTCCCTTCCTCATTAAAAATACTGTTATGGGGCAACTGCAGGAAATTCAGTTAAAATGCATCTGCTTTCTCTACATAATGTGCTGCTGTTTAAACTGTATTTGATTCTGCGTAATAAAACTAATAGATGGAATTGATAGAACAGAAAAAAAACTAGAGGAAACACTTAAATTGTCAGCTACAGTTAATCAAATGAAATGAGCCCTTGAAAAAATTTGCAAGGCTTGATGAAGAGCAAAGCAGAATGGTACAGTCCATCTGCCTTCAGTAAACAGCCAGCTTGGGATCTATCCGAAGAAGCCCAGGGCTAATGGCAGGGTGCTCCCTACAGGGGATGCCAGTCCATGACACTGTGGAGTACTTAGGGATGCCCATTTTTGAATAGTTTTCATTTCATTGTGGTACGAGGGTGCCAGTGGAGCTGTCATGTCTGACTGGAGATGTTCCATCTGCAGAATCAAGTGAACAGGAAGACAAAATCACAGATGCTTCAGGGGACACTCCACCAGAGCCCTGTCCCACCGAAACCCCCACCATCACCCCTACAGAGCCCCCCAAGGATGAGGGGCAGCCTTCGACATCGCCACCCAAACAGGACGACAGCGACGACCTGGGGCTGCTACCCGACAACTGGGAGATGGCTTACACAGAGAAGGGGGAGGTCTACTTCATTGAGTAAGCATTACTGTACTCAAGTAGAAAAGACCTACTTCAGTGGACAAGCATGCCTGAATTAGCTGAGGTCTATGCAATTAACCTGCCTGAGAAATCAGAAAATGCCCTGAAAGGCTGTTTCATTGAGTGGAAGGCCGTTCTTGCAATGCTAAACAACCTTGCAGAATATCATTGTTTTAAAAAGGATGTAGTGATTGAGGCAATAAGCAGTTTTCTTGAGCCTCGAGCTTTTTAACCAGAAGGTTAACACAGCCGTGTTATTCCTGTATTGCTCATACTTATGGTACTGCATCCTGGCTGAAAAAACTAACTGGTTAAGCTGGTTGATCACCTTATGATAATTGACCAGATTAAGGTATGTTTTTGCATGACGGCTTGATGGTTGAGCTGGTCATACCAGCTTATGATGGTCATTCTAGCTGGTTTGACTGGTCATGCCAGAATGTCCAGCTTAATGGGGTGGCCGCACCCACACAACTAATCCATCAAAGAGCAGCAAGTGCTGGTGTATGACCAAATAAATCTTAGACCAGCTAAAACCAGCTACCAGCATAAGCTGGTTTTTAGCTGCTTTTTTCAGCCAATTTTCTGAAGATCATTCAGATTGAAAGGGAGAGGTGTGTGTTATGTTCTGCTCTAGTTAATTTTAGTTGTTTTCTAGCAGATGACATTATGAAGGTATTATAAACCCATCTCTTCAAAATGAAATTAAGCCTGTAGGAATTTTAGCTTTATTAATGGACAGCTATGGTTGGTATGTTGTATTATGCATGACTTAAAGGCATTTCTATTGTCACAGGCCTCTAAGTGTCTTTTATCATTAGTTTGGCCCATTATATTATTATCATAATGGAATCTGGTCTAACTGATACAAGTGTACATCCAGCATGCTACATGTAGTGTTATACAGAAGAGTTCAGAAGTTCAGAGATGGTTGCTAGATAGAGAGTTATCTTGCTGGTGTTGTGTGAATGAAGAAATACACACCCCTCAGAGCACATTGTTAAAACAGCTCAGCTCCTCTACATGTATTTTTCATACAAAAATGTCTTCACCTGAGATACTTTGTGGTTTAATTTTGGCGTTGAAAAAGTCAAAGGGAAGACATGGGTTAACGAATGTGTGATGATGATTGATGACTAATCTGTGCCCATCACTTTAATACACAGTGTGGAGCAAATGAAATAGCGGCTTTCAGATGCAAACCTTAAGGTATCAGCGTATATAGCGCTTTACTTTTGAGACTGACATCTGTTGCATTTGTCTGATCGGCTGCTCCCAAGTGGCAGGAATGATGGCCCAACTGTGCAGGCTCAGAGTTACAGAGAGGGCATATGGTTAACAGACAGGTTTTGTCAGATGAGAAGAAACATCACTATAGAACAGTCATATTAAAAATCTTGATATACCAGTAAGTCAAGCGTGCATGCCCGAAACCTAAACCTTGCCATATTGAGTGTTTCTGTTTATAAGTTCTCTCATTTGTTAGGCTAAGCTCCCCAGGTAATTGAATCTGTAGAAATCAGAATAGTATAATGAATTTTTCGTTTGACTTTTTTATTGTACAGGTAATTATTTGACACTACTTTAATCCTTGTGAAGAATCACTTCCCACACTGACATTGAAACATAAGAATCTGTAATTGTGCTAGCCTGGTTCTGATTAATTTAGTTTGTGTGCTTGGTGTGTCATTTGATAAACTCTTGAACTCCTTGTATCCTCTTGTATGTGATTTCAGTTCACTTTGAAACATCAGAAATAAACAAATTAAATGTGTTACAGCCTTTTTACAAACTGAAGCTTTTACGTGACTTTGTAGTTTTGTGTGATGTTGTATATACTTTTCTGAATTTATTCTTGTATCCATTCCCCTGAAACAATGTCCTTCTTCTGTTTAGTCACAACACCAAAACAACTTCTTGGCTTGATCCACGTCTCGCCAAGAAAGCGAAGCCGCCAGAAGAATGCAAAGAAAATGGTGAGTGTCCTCTCGACGTGCTTCTGTGGCTCTTCATTGTATCAGAATCAGTATTTGCCAACTAAGAGGTGTTTCTCTTGGTGCAGCTGTCAACATAATATTAATCCAGTAAAAAAAAAAAAGTATAGAAAAAGATAAACCATATAAACAAAATAGACTACAAACGAGACTGAAGACGAAAGAATGTGTAATGCAACAAAGTGCATATGTGCACTGACTACAATAACAGAAAATAGGAAAGATTTATATTCAGTAGGATCATGCGGTGGGATAAACAGTTGATACATGCATTACCATGCATGTAATAAAGTGCATGTGAAGCAGCTTTATTAAGACCCTTCTTTCAGCGAAATGGCAGGTGGTACGGCCAGAATTCATGCTGTTAGGCCTGGCCATGTCTGTTGGGAAATACGTTTTAGATACACTGTATGTTAGTCTTATTACTCTGTCAGCTTGACTATTTCTCATTGGCTCACTGGAGATCGGTATATACTGTCCCGTGACGTGGAACATTACCTTATCCAATTATGTCATTCTCCTCACCCACTTTCCCCCACAATGTTCTCCAGCAGAGATCCTACCATGAACCACCAGCTCATTTTTCACAAGAATATTCTTTGAAATGAGTCTGGTTCGGTTGAGACTGGTTTTCCCCATTAGCTGAGTCAGCATCATAGACTGTCATTTTTTTCTCATTTGTTAACTAATAATATTATACTTGAAAAATATATTTCAGGTTAAAAATTCCACAACTGCTGATTTCCTGTAAATAAATCATGTTTTTCTTTTTTAAATTAAAATTGTATCTGATTCACATGCAATATTTACGAAGTGTAATGTTTACAGTGTGTTATGAACTAAAACTGATACCATTGACTAGTTTCTGTCAGTGTTATAAAGCACTTCTCAAGTCAAGCAAAGCTTTATTGTCATCCCAGCACAGGACACAGTGAAATAAAATAACATTACTGCTGAACTTGGGGTGCAACATTCATGACAGTGCAGCCATTACAGTGCTTCTAAAATTCAGCCAGTTGTCATTCAAGATCTCATGAAGCGAAGCGCTCAGTTTTTTTCCCGTTTTCTTTTATTCCAGTCAACTTTACTTCTTTATGCAGCTTGCATTCTTACTGAAGCAATTTGGGTTAAGTATCTGAGCCAGGTGAATAACTGTGGTTGCTTCCATCAGTGGAAGACTGTTACTCTTAACAACTAAAGTCCAAAATCAGTATCATAATTCAAGACGCTAACCATTATATATAAAAGTATGATTTGTTATGGGTGGTAGGTGTGGTATGTGTTAGCCGGCTGTCACCTGGTATGCTAATATCGTTAAGGGTTGACAGGCGTCTGCATGTGCTGCTCATATGTTAGTGTTGATACATCTGCTACCCAGTGCATTAGCGCAGCTCCTATAAGCAAATAGGCTAATATTGATGCAAGTGCTAGTAAATACTGCTTCAGGCCTTTGATAATGCCGATGTACAAATCCTGATGCTGGTGCTAACAGGTATGCTAAGGATCCTTGCATCCATTACCCTTACTGAACGTTGCTTAGATATTATCAGAATTAGATCTAAGAACAGAGTTCTGCAGACTGATTGTCTAGTCAGAGTTTGTTTTCTCAGGAATCTAACAAAAATCACAGGATGGAAAAAAAAAAAACTCCGAATGCTGCATGTGATACAACATTCAAGAGAGCATCCGTTCTGGGGCGGGCAGAGCTTGCATTTCATCTTGCAGATTTTCAGGGTGATTTCCCATTTCTTGCGGGCTACAGTGAGGACCCTGTGGCCACAGGGTGTTGTCACACAGATGGCATGTGGCAGGAGAAGGGACAGTGGAGGAGATGGAGGAATGGGAATGGAGAGCGGGAAGCTGCAGCAGGCGGTGCCGTCATTTGTAGGATGCTGAGTGTTGATTCACCATAGTGAATTAAAACATCAGCTACCCTTGCTGAGAATGCGTCGTATGAACAAGAAGCATCGTTTGATTCTTTTATGTTGATTACAAACCAAAAATGTGTGTCAAACATCTGAATATCAGGTAATAATACCCTAAGTAGTATTCGTCAATTTTGATTAATCGGATTAGACTTGATTCACATTATCTTTGGCTATTTTACAGTCTCACATTAAAACAAGTTTAATTGCATATTAATTGGGGTGATTTGCATATTTGGATGGAGAAAAGCCACTTAGGACTCATTGCAATCGCAGTGCTCAAAGTTCAGTTATGTAACAAATGAGTATAAATGGATTGATGGATTCTCAGAGGTGTTTGACTCCGTAAATTAGAAACTCGGTTAATGTAGGATGGTCAGTATAGTGTTAAAAGTCACAGGTGTAACTTCATGTTGTACAAAACATACGTAATTAGACCTTTTCAATTGGTGTCGAAACCACAGGTTGCTTGTTGAAATATTGACATTGATAGTAGTAATAGTAATGCAAAAATTGCTGTTTCTATTACTTGATTATTGTATTCATATGCAAAGTTGTGATTCAGGGTCATAACAGTTACCAAAGAGAGAGCAATTCTCTTTCCTGCAATTAGTGGCTAAAACACGGGGCTATAAAAGAGCCTTCAGTTCATGCAGTAAAGCTTCCTCCTGAAGTTACCATGGAAACCGTCTTCCTTTGCATCTAGTGATTTAAGGTGGCTCCACATAAATGGCATGGATTTAAGACGGCTTAAAAAAGCCCTGTCCTTTATTTAGTCACTGAGAGGGCTACAACGTCTGAGTCATCACATCAGTGATGAGGTATGTTCCTGGTAGCACTTAAATGTGTGTCCTGTCATTGAAAAGCTGGGAACAAAGAACAACATCTACTCCGAGGTGTGTATCCCAGTCAGGAGTTCACAGGGACAGCTTTGCAGCTGCTCTCCATGCAGAAAGCTCCATAATGGATTGATTATATCCACGAGATGCAGGCTTGATGGCCCCAAATACGTCCATTTCTTGGTCCGTGTAGTAGGAATGTGTGGCGTGAGACCTTATGTGCAGATCATTGAGGGAAAGTGTGTGTGTGTGTATGTGTGTGTGTGTGTGGTGGGGGAGGGGTGTATTCTGTTTGTGTGCATTATGAATGGGTATCGGAGAGAAGAGTGTGTGGGTGTGGGGGGGGGGTATTCTGTTTGTGTGCATTATGAATGGGTATCTGAGAGAAGAGTGTGTGGGTGTGGGGGGGGGGGATTCTGTTTGTGTGCATTTTGAATGGGTATCTGAGAGAAGAGTGTGTGTGTGTGGGGGGGGGGGATTCTGTTTGTGTGCATTTTGAATGGGTATCTGAGAGAAGAGTGTGTGTGTGTGGGGGGGGGGGATTCTGTTTGTGTGCATTATGAATGGGTATCTGAGAGAAGAGTGTGTGCAGGCCGGGCAGCATGATCCTGGGGGACGTTCCGCTTTGTTTGGGTTTCAGTAAGACTGAGGAAACATCAGGTTGGATGTTGCGTGCTTTGCCTGGTGTTCCAGAGCCTCAGAAGGTCTCGGAGACTAAGAAGGGCTGTGCATTCAGCTGTTTATAAATCCATCCCAGCACACGAGATCCGGCAGCGCTGGGCCGGCTATTCACTGACAGGCAGTAGTGAACTCAGTCGACGTGTCAGGAAGGGTGGAGAATGTCACTGGGTATGTCAGGGGTGAAATCTCGCGGAACAGGAAGATCAAACGTTACTGTATGATCACAGGGAACCAAAAAGAAAGTGTGAAATCTAAATCAGAATGGCTAAAGTCCAACCAGAGTCCTTGCCTCTGGTGAAGGTTTCCAAGCAGGGAAGGATTGGTTTGTAATTTTTATCGCATGGCAATAGGGGAAAAAAAATGAAATGAATCTGAGTTTTGTGGATATGGACTTAAATTTACTGTCTCTTTCAAACTAATTTTTCCCTGGCGCATGAAGAAGCCAGCTGTTGGCATTTATTGCAATACTGTGAGATACCATATCTTTCTGTCAGGGTAAGGACACCATACAGGTTCACATTCTGTACACGGCATGCTAAAAGTGAGAAATATTTACTGTTGTTTGGGATAAACGATGCTTGTTCATGATTAATATATAGTGCCACTTGAGTTTTATGTATTATTAAAATGACAGGTTTCTTTGTCATTCTTGCATGAGAGTAGAACCAGGTACAATCATAATTTATAATTTAAAAAGCTTTCTGATGTATTTTTATTAGGTTTGCTGATAATAAGGCACTGAATAACATTAATGGAATAATGTATTTCACATTTATGAAGGTGGTAAACACGTCTTTCCATTCACATGCACGCTGAGCACCCTTCCATTATAAACAAATGGAAACGTTTATTTAAAGTGCACCCAAAACTAATTGAAGAGTCCGATGAGAATTTCATCATGAATTCAGTTGCACTTATATCATGCTTTTGTGCATTTTGATGCTCCAGCGATCCTGTGTAATTTAGCAATGTGCTAAATCCATTACCCACACAAACATATCCTGCTTATGAATATTTTCTCAAGAAAATTTCTATGGAAATATGGAATACAGGCAGTCCCTGGGTCAAGAATGTCTGAGTTACAGATGACTCATACTTTCGAAGAGCCTATTATATTAAAAAATTTGGGTTAAATGCAATGGTTCATAATAACTAACGCACGGACTACTTTGTGATTGCACACAATTGTTGACAGCCAGTGATGGCCTGAGTTTTCAGCTAGGTAGTCCAGTGAGTACTAATTAAACTAGACCAATAATGTTTTAAAGTATCTCTCAGCTCTTCTCAAACACAGCTGTGGCAGAGCAGTTCACAATTCACCTTCTGTAGTCAAGGTTAAGACATGTGAGAGGCGACATCAGGTGAGACACCGTGGACGAGCAACGGAACCAGCTCTGCTTCTCCCTTAGCACTCCTGCTCAGAAATGGCCAGAACCCTGCATGTGGAGGTTGACACCAGTTCCGAACGATTAGGAAAGCTGTCAGGGCCTGTTGGCATAGCCTTTGTACTGTCACACCACTATAACTCTGCTATTAATTACTTGATTATGCTGAAGACGCACTGAGGATTGCATGCAAATTCTGGCAGCATTGTCCTTAATCAAGGACTCTCGACTGTAATAGGATCTGCCTTTAACGATGATGCAGTAAAAGTGGTAATGATTGCATTCACTTATAAAAATGGATTATTTTTAAAAATTGATTTTTCCTTCTCGCAAGAAGGCTAATACGTTTTTGTTTTTCCAGAGCTCCCTTATGGCTGGGAGAAAATTGATGACCCCATTTATGGCAGTTACTATGTTGAGTAAGTATCGTGTTCCTTCATACTGCTTTAATGCATCTCTGCCTGCTTCAGAATATGCATCCGTACTCACCTTCCTGCATGTCCCTGTCAGTCACCGCACAGCCAGCACGTCCTTTGTGCGTAATTGACATACTGCCACTGTTAAAAGTCTGCCATAAGGTGGTGCTGGTCCCTGATTTATGCTTAATTGCACAGAAATCCAATATGGAAGCCTGGTGCACAGGCTGTTATTCCTGCTCTCTGCCCTTTCTGCAGCCATATAAACCGTAGGACACAGTTTGAAAACCCTGTGTTGGAGGCCAAGCAGCGACTCCAGCAGCAGCAAATGCACGGTCCAGGTCTGACTTCACTGCCCCTTCCCGCTCCTTTAAGAGGTGAGTGTCCAGCCTCATTCATACAGTAGATGTTGGTTTTTGGTCTCCATGGTAACAGAGCACATGTTTCACCGCTAACAGACTTGATGTAGCAGATTCTACTACTGAGATAGTACGCTGTGTGCTATTTAGTTGTGCTTTTCAGCCATCATACAATGGATCCTATCTAGCCACTAGTCTATATTAGGGAGCTTGTAATGTACGTTAAGCACCTTATCTGAAAGTGGAAATCTCCACTCTAGACAAAGCCCCCTAGTGTAGTGAAGTGATTATTACAGGCAGCCTTTCCACGTTCCCAACAGCATCCCCTCCTCCAGGCTATTGGCTGATTCAGCAGCTTTTCAGCTACAGTCGGTGAAGCATGGCCGGGAGACGTTCTTGCCCAGTTGATCCGCTGTTATTCCATTCCCCGGGGATGGGGCCGGTTCCCTCCTCGGGATTAACGGTACCCCTCTATGTGGCCCTCTCGTTGCCCCAGAGAAGCCCCCCTTCACACGAGACCCCACCCAGCTGAAGGGTACCTTCCTGTCCACCACGCTGTCCAAGAGTAACATGGGCTTCGGCTTCACCATCATCGGGGGGGACGAGCCCGACGAGTTCCTGCAGGTGAAGAGCGTCATCCCAGAAGGACCTGCTGCCCAGGACGGGAAGATGGACACAGGTATGCTGTGATGCTGATTCAGGGGCAGTCAACCCCGTGTAAGATGGACACAAGCCACATCCACACTTTCTCCAGGAAAGAAAAGAATTTGCCAGTATCATGTAGTACCTATGCCCAGATGCATGGGTGTAAATTATGAGGGTGGGGGATTGTAACCCCCACTATAAATCAAAACCAGCCAATGCAACCTGCCGGACCCCCTTAAATGGGTGGAGACCTCAACCCCCAGATGGAAAGGTGTCTTCATTTACACTCAATCATTCAATACTCAGTAATGTCTGTCATGTCAGTCATGTACATCTCAAGCATCCTGTATCTGTGGATCACTATCCGAAGAGTATGTCTAGAGTATATCTGTGACATGCTGTCAGAGTGTGTGTGTGTGTGTGTTTATATATATATACACAAATATACTATGTATGTAATCTGTATATACAGACTTGTTTTTGGCAGGTATTTAAGCACAAAGAGTCTACAGAATATGTGCATTAAAGAACTGCAGGTGAAATATGATACTTACCCTGGACAGGATGCCAGTCTCTTGTAGGGCCCCAAAGGCAGTTTAAAGACCCACGTTTGCATAAATGCAGGTCTTTGGACTGCGGAGGGAAGCCCTCACAATGCAAGGAGAACATACAAGCTCCCCCCCACACACAGAGCAGGTACCAGTGTCCGTGGAGGCGTTAGGCCAAGCTGAGTCACTGTGCTGCCCGGCTGTCATCCAGATGCTATGAAACTGAAGAAATGTCAATGTCCATTTGTTAGTGTTACAGACTGAGTGTTACGGACATCCCATCTGGGGGAGCACCCCAGCCGTGTGCCATAAGCTGTCTGGAATAGACTTCAGGCCCCCTTGCTCCCGCTAACCTTCACCCGACCCTGTATTCCTGATCAGGGATGGTTAAAAGATTTCAGTCCGTTTTTACCCTTAAAGCTGCTGTCTGATGCCTGCGGTATTTAGCGGTTATTAACACTGTAAGATGCAGTGCATTATGGGGTCTGTTTTGTTCTCATGGTTTTGCTTCCTTGCGCTCAGTGCATTTGTGTCATGGCTCTTGCTGATAATGTCCATGCAGTCCGCTGCCCACGCTCGGTCTTCTCCCCCCACGTCTCATTGGTGAAAAGTCTCCGGGTCTCCTGCCCTGACCTCCCACCGAGCTTTGCTCCCCCCCACGCGATCGGATCTCCCGCTTGAGCAGGCCTGCCAGCCAGAAAGAGCGTGAAACAGGCAATCCAAAGCTGATTATTTAAATTGCGCATTGAACACAGCCTGGAACACGCCACTGATCTGCAGCGGCCGTTGCCTGCAGCGGTTTTACGTCAAACTGTTATTTGTAATTCTTGCTTCAGTGTGGGTTCTGCAGAAGAAATCGCGGCATGTCAGACTTGGAAAGACAGCTGTGCGCAGCTCTCAAAGCAGAAGATATGCGATATCTCTACAGCTTCTGAGTCGGGGTGAATCAACCTGGTCACCTCAGACCTTCCTTCAGAGAGCCATTCTAGGCTTTGTAGCTTTATCATGACAGCAGGAATCACCATGTTTTCTCTGCTGTATTTGTGAACCCTTTCTTATATTATCAGTACCTGGTTGACTCCTCAGCATGTGTTCTTTATCCTCATTGTGTGGTTAAAGTTAAGCCTTTTTTTATAGGACTGAGGCGGATAGTCACTGTTTCATATTAATAGTTTTCTTGCGGTCTAAAGCAGGGGTTGGCAACCCCGATCCTGGAGTGCTGGCAGGTTTTCTCCAGGATCAGGGTTGTCTACCCCTGTGACCTGTACTACGAAGCAGGGTTACTGGCTTATCGGGGTAACTTGTCGGATTTAAGGTACCACAGTTTAAATGGACTTCGTTCACTTACATTTTGCCCAGACTACCTTAAATCCAGCAAGTTACCCCGAGAAGCCAGTAACCCCGCTTCGTAGTACAGGCCCCTGGTCTAAAGATAACTGCAGGCCAGCATTCGTTATTGTTGGTGTATAATCCATCTTTTACCAGATACTATTTGATACTAGTCCAACTTACCTCAACACTAAGACTGTGAAGAATATTAGTGAAATTTGCAAAGCAACTTTTAAAAGAGAATAATTGTTTAAACGTTGAACAATTATGGTGTCTTTCTGAGATAGTGAGTGCCTATGAATGTGTTTTTTTGGGAGGTTGGTTAAAAGGCTGTGCAGTCTTTGTGGTTTTAGCAGGTGATTGTGGGAAATGCCAGGTCACTCTTCAAGCTGCACGCAGACATTTATTTTGATACAAGAACAAGACAAAATGTTTGCGGTGCTTCTTGAGATGAGTTATGGGTCCTCGATTCTCAGTTGTGACTAACAGAACTGCTGTCAAGCCCCACAGCTCCTCAGATGTTGAGAGACGTGAGGAAATAGTCTGACCCTTCGATCTGAATGGTGTCTACTCAAAGCAGATGGGTGTCACGGTCAGAGGTGATGTTTTGGCTGCTTTCACTTCAGCTCAATATTGATAATCTGCTGAATGCCATGAAATCCTTTCACCATCCACTCCACTGGCTCCAAGCTCCACTGGCTTCCAAGAAAAAAATACTATTTTTAGGTGTCTATAAAAGCCGCACGTGTAGCTCTCAGCATCATTGTAAACACTTTTGCGAGATGTGAAGAGCTCAGACCAGAAGCAAACGTATCGCCATATAACTTTGTATGTATATTTACCGATATCTACTTAAGTCAAGCACATTCAAAAGTCACATGTAAGCAAAGATAAGGTGAACGCTTCTGTTTCTTCCCTAGGTGACGTAATTGTCTACATCAATGATGTCTGTGTCCTGGGGACCACCCACGCCGATGTGGTGAAGCTCTTCCAGTCGGTGCCGATCGGGCAGAGCGTGAGCCTGGTGCTGTGTCGCGGATACTCCCTGCCTTATGACCCTGAGGACCCTGCCGGGAGCGTGATGGCTCCCATGGGGCTCATGGTCAATGGCAGAAGTAACTACGACAGCTACATGGAGTATTTGTCCCGGACCGCCCGGATCATGCATGGGCATGGTGAGCACCCCCTGCCCCAGCTTGGTGAACAGTCGGGTCCTCACGGCGACAACATCTCCATGGCGTCTTCAGGCGTGGCCCCGGCAGAGCTGCTGACGGTCTCCATGGTGAAGGGAGATGGAGGCTTTGGGTTCACCCTAGTGGACAGCAGTGCGGGCCAGCGTGTGGAGCGGGTCCTGGAGCCTCAGGGCTGCCCGGGGCTGGTGGAGGGGGACCTCCTCCTAGAGATCAACCAGCAGAGCGTGCAGGGCCTCAATCACACCCAGGTGGTGGATTTGCTGAAGGAGTGCATCGTGGGAGCGGAGGCCACCATCGTCATCCAGAGGGGCGGAACAGGTTAGGGGGCATATGGGTGCCGCTCATTCTACCATCCCGCCTCTGTGGCAAGCTTGTTAACGCTCAATGAGACTCTAGCTAGCTACCTCTCTACAATCCATGAAATGGGCCATATGGCGACTTATTTCTGTATGTGTTTGCCAGCCTTTCAGTCTTGGTGGTTAGACATTTTGAGAAGAGATACTTTTGAAAATGTTCCACCCAACACAAGCACCTTTTTAAGGTTGATATTCTTAAAAAAACGTTTATGGCTATTATTTATCAGTTTATAGAGCAGTGTTCAAATATTAATGTGACAGTCGGCGTCCTCGCAATGCAAATGCAAGTGTTGTTGGTTTTTGTTTGTATACTTGGGCATCTGTGTGTGTGTGGATCATGTATATATTACATTGTGGGGATCAAATGTCCCCACAGTGTGATAAAAACCTGTTATTTTGATGTTGTGGGGATCATTTTTTTCGGACCTCACAAGGGGAAACTCGATTTTATGTAAATTTGTGACTGCAGTCAAAAAACTAAAAATGACGAAAGTCTTGTATTTTGTTTGGTTGCTTTTGGTTAATGTTAGGGCTGGGTAGGGGTTAAGGTCGTCATGTTGGGATTAAGGTTATGCCCATAGAAATGAATGTAATGTCCCCACAGAGATACCTAATCCTTTTGTGTGTGTGTGTGTGTGTGTGTAAATAGCCAGTTTGAAAAGTGAAAGGCTGTGTTTGTAGCTTACTTTTGATGAGACCAATGACATGCAGTGACATCACATGGACACGGCTGTGCCTGGGAGTGCGGGACACCAGCCAAACTCCAGCTTACAGCGTCTGGTGGAGTCAAGGCTTCTGCTCCTTGTCTTTGTACTTGATCTCTGTGTAGCCAGGTTTACGAAGCCTGTGAGATCCTACTATGTCAGTGACATAACCCTTTGCATTTTAAGCAAGACTTTGATTGCCTCCAACCTCTGTTGGTTCCATTAGTCTTCCGCCCAAGAAATTAGTCTTATGACTCTTCTGGGAGAGGTTCTGCGGATTCTGGTAGTTGGAATGGGCTCGGTTCCCGGTGGGGTCAGCCCCGTTAACACTCACTGTGGCATCAGCTTCTAGCAAATGCAAGCAAAATCTGAGAGCCAATTTGCATTTCGTGCTCTCTGCACAGCCCTGGCAAATACTTTTTATTTTATGTGTATATTTCTTGAATTTTGCTTGACTAGTCTACTTTTAGCTATAGTTGTAAATACAATGTGTTTTAATAGTAACCTTCTTTAAACAGCCCTTGATCTTTGCTACATGATGGTAGCATATTCCACTAAATATATATCTATTCCTTGCCCATAAACATGCCGTGTGGGGAGTCAAAGTGAGCCTTCATCCCGTCCCAGTTTGTGGGGAGTTTGACGCAGGGGACTTACTGTATGGGATTCCAATCCATCATGGGACGAACTGGCACATGCAACCAAATTTGGAGAAGTGAATTTAATGTCTTTGGACTTCAAGGGAAAGCTGGAGTATAGCTGGATAAATGGATAAAAGCATCAAATAAGAACCTTGGCAGCCTTACCTGGAGGTGAGGGTAGTAGCTGCTGAATCTGCATTTGTCGTTCGGCGATGGCCTCCGCACACACGCCTGTGTAGGCTGCTTTCACAGGTGCTGCCTTGGTTACCTGTCACCAGCCTTCTGGCAACTCAATTAGCTAGTCTCTGTGGAGTGCATGCAGCGCCATCTCCTGGTTCAGCTCAGCAATAGCAGGTCCATTACAGAAAGGTTACCTAGTCTCCATGACAACGCTTCCTGTGACATGGATATAATGAGTCAGTTATGTTTTAATTTCTAAGTTTAAATCTTCAAATCCTGAATAATTTTGACTTTTGTCTTGAAGCATTATTTTTTTTTTATTGTTGTTGATAATAATAATTATATCATCATCGACACATATTTATGGCAAAAATTATTTACACTCACATACCTTAAAATTTAACTGCTTGTCCATTTATTTATATATTTGAACTTGAATCACTAAATATCTGCTCAAATGTACAGCGGTTTCAGTTCGATTTAGATGCCCGAGTTTCAGCCTGAAAGTACGATGGGCAATTTAGAGATGGATGCCCTTTACCTGCCTACATTTTTAAGATTCAAGAAGTTTATTTGTTACATGCATAGTTATACACGCACAACATGCAGTGAAATCTAACACTGAATCACTCCCAAGACTGTGTGTTGGATTAAATAAAAAAACAGATAACTAAAAACTAAAAATATAACAGCTTAAATATAACTAATAGATAAATAACAAATAAGCAATATGTACTTCAAACAAACAATATGTACTACAAAGCCTGCATGCTTCTGGGGGGGTCGGTGGAAACCCGTCCCGCACAGGGAGAACATGCAGAATAGATGCAGAGAACTCGGTGGGATCCAGTCCCCGAGGAGTGAGCTAACAGCGCTAGTCACCGAGCCGTGGTGCTACCCATGGGGGGCCTTCTGCTGACCAGAACAAACTCATTTACATCAAAGGAGGACATCGAACTAATGCCCAGAGCCGCCGCTGCACCCAGCACTGCACGAAACAATACACGGTGTATATAATTAGCCCAGATAGATAACACAGAAACATTCTTTAGTTAGGCTACAGATTATTCTCTTTATTTTGTTTATTCTGGTGGAATTTTCCATTCACTCTGATGTACTAGTAAGAGCTGAGCTACTTGGTTATAACATTAGCATGTGGCTTTGTGAATGATTACAGTCTGATGATCGTGTTTTGTTGGCACCCTTCATCAAAATAAGCAAATGTGATTGTATAAAATTAACCACACGCACAATGATTCAACCATAAAACGTTTTATTGAATAGTTCATGTTCTCTGAAGAACGTGTCAACATTATTGGCACCCATAAAAATATTTATACCAATATTGTAAAAGCAATATTGGTATAAAGCAAGAATGTGACTCATTGTACTCAACTGGTTTTGTACTTTTCTGATTTGTACTTTTGAACCTGAACTTTAAACTCCTGCCAAATGGTGTCTGTCGTGTTATGAGCTCTTTTTGAGCTCTTTTCAGTCTCCAGCAGCTATATTGCTGCCATTCACCAGCTTCTTGGTCCCTGTGCCCGCCCTATCTCTATCCCCTGGGTCCCTGTGCCCGCCCTATCTCTATCCCCTGGGTCCCTGTGCCCGCCCTATCTCTATCCCCTGGGTCCCTGTGCCCGCCCCATCTCTATCCCCTGGGTCCCTGTGCCCACCCTATCTCTATCCCCTGGGTCCCTGTGCCCGCCCCATCTCTATCCCCTGGGTCCCTGTGCCCGCCCACTCTCCATCCCCTTTGAACTGCAGGGATGTTGTCAGATGCCGTCAGCTTGGTTGTTCTGAGCTGCCCGGTGACAGCTCCAGAAAGGCTGGCAGTGGGATCCCTATTCTCTTGGCTGTGTAGACATGAAAAGACAGCTGTGTTGGGCTCTGACAGGAACAGGGAAAAGTGAGCCGGTGCACTTCCACCACGAATGCGGATGAGACTGCGGGAATATGAGAGAATGAATGGAAAGTGCCATGTTGGGCTGTGATTGGTTAGTGCGCGATAGCTAGAATGCAAATATATTTACATTTACATTTGTTTAGCAGGCATTTTTGTCCAGTGTAACATACAAGCAAGGCAGATAGTACATTACAAACATACAGCTCACAGGGAGAAGACTCAGCATAAGTGCAGCCAGGCTGAGCTTCCAGTGAATGACCAGTAACAAGTGCAAGTCAGCATCAGAGCACTAGCTATAGAATGGGCTACAAACATGGGATGAACCTCAAAAGAGGGCTATTTAGTCCAAGAGCTATACACTAGCAATCGAAAACATTTGGGGTAAAATCCATACATGTTCACTTTATATATATATAATATATAGTTATATATATATATAACTGCTTCAATTCGCCAAGGTACCCTTAAATTTCTCAGACACTGAAATATATTGTTCATTTAACATTTTTATTTCATATACCTTTCAAAAAGTTTACCTTCAAAGCATTCTCAGTTTTGCAGCAATTACTGCTGATCAATTTAATGCTTCATTTGTGATTAAAAATAAAATTATGCTATCAAACATATGAAAATCTTCCAAACATTTGAATGCTAGTGTGTGCATACATTGCCATACATGTTTTGCACAGTGTTTTGTACTGCCATTCTATTGAGTATTTTTTCATATTAGCAAATTTGCACTGTTTAAAGCACTAAATTATTATATGCTTTGTTTTTTTCCCAGTGCACTTGCAACTGTCTTTGGAGAGAAAAGTGCAAGCAATATAAATGTATATATGAGCACTGATAGTATTGAAAAACAGAGGTTCCCTCTTTTTTCAAATTGCTTTACCCTTAAGGGGTCTTGGGGACTGTATTTCCCTATCAAAAGCAAGCAGTAGGTCTCCTTTTTACTGACTCCATTACTACCTAGATAGAGAAGATAGGCCACAAATGTTTATTTGTAACTATGAGCAATTGAGTGTCATTCTTCAACGACCGGTCACACATTGGGATTGTTTCATAAGTACGGGTTCTTTTACTCAGTGTTTACTTTGTAAATTAAACATCAGACCAGTTTTATACAGGAGTTATGTGGTTATGGGGTGTTATGTGGCCTGTGGGTAAGGACGCTTTACCCGTGATTGGAAGGTTGCGTTTTAAAATCCCATGGCTGCCTCAGTGATGTCACCATTGGGCCCATGTGCGAGGCCCTTATCATAATTGCTCAAGGGACTGTCTGACCCTGCTCTCTCAAATGTACGTCACTTTGGATAAAAGCATCTGCTAAATAAATAGATGTAAATGTAATAAATTAGCATCATCACAAAATTAGATTTAATATTTATTCTGTGTGGCCAGGGGGATGGGGGGTCAAAATGAACTGAACTGACAGCCAAAATATAAAACTGGAAAGTGGTTTGTAACTAAAACACCACGAACTGAAAAGGATCCAGTAAAAACCTGCAAACATGACCCCTTTGTATAAACAAGGTCCTTACCTCATTCTGTCACAGAGCTGTCTCTCTCTCTCTCTCTCTCTCTCTCTCTCTGTCTTCTGTTTCTCGCTCTCTCTTTCTCTCTCTGTCTCTCTGTCTTCTCTTTCTCCCCACCCCCCCACAGCTGGGCTACCCTGTACAGTATATCCCCAAATTGTTCTTTGGCCAGATCAAGGCCAGCCGGGCATCATTAATAGAGGGAAGAGCTAAGAGCTGCATCAGGCTGGAGATTGATTGTGATGGTGATGGGAAATTGCTTGTTTCCATCCCCGTGGCATTTTTCTGCGTTCATTGGCTTATATCTGTTTAAATTTGGGTTTGCTTAAAAGATACTGTGAAATAGAATAGCTGTTTGATGAAAATATAATGAAAATAAATACAGTTTGATGATTTATGAGCGGCGATACCAAGTTGTGTTAGCTTGACAATGGTATTCCTCATAAATTCTGTATATTCGCCATGTCTAAGGTCATTTCTGTATGACAAGATTCAACGGAAGGTTAAAGGTGTGACAATGAATTTCCCTTCTTGCTTCTGTTAATTGCTGGCTAACATAAGTCCCATGGAAAATATATTCTGCTTGATCTACTTCATTTCCTCCAATCTGTGCTCTGCTTTGTCTCCTTGCATCATGTAATGTCCCCAGTATTCCCCTTTGGTCCCATCCTTTGTTTACAACCGTTCCAAAAAAAGTTGGGATACTGTGTAAAATGTAAATAAAAGCAGAACGCAATGATTTACAAAACACATAAATCCCTATTTAACAGAAAATAGAACAAAGACAACATATCAAATGTTGAAACTGAGATATTTTATTGTTTATGACAAATATATCATAAAGTTGAATTTGATGCCAGTAACTTTCAACTCAAAAAAGTTGGGACAGGGGCATATTTACCACTGTGTTGCATCACATCTTCTTTTAACAACACTCTGTAAACGTTTGGGCACTGAGGAGACCAGTTTTTGGAGTTTTGAAAGTGAAATGTCCCATTCTTGCCCGAAATAGAATTGCAACTGCTCAGCAATTTGCGGTTTTCTTTGTCGTAATTTTCGTTTCATGATGTGCCAAATATTTTTAGTGGGTGACCTGTCTGGAATGCAGGCAGGCCAGTCTAACACCCAGACTCTTCTACTGCAGAGCCATGCTGTTGTAATACGCATAGAATGCAGTTTGGCATTGTCTTGCTGAAATATACAAGGCCTTCTCTGGAAATTACATTGTCTGGATGGCAGCATACATTGCTCGAAAACCTGTATATATCGTTCAGCATTAATAGTGCCTTCCCAGATATGCAAGCTACCCAAACCATGAACATTAGTGCACCCCCGTATCATCACAGATGCTGGCTTTAGAACTCCCTGCTGATAAACTGGATGATCCCTCTCCTCTTTAATTCAGAGGATGCAGCATTCATGATTTCCAAAAAGAATTTGCAATCTTGATTCTTCAGACCACAGGACAGTTTTCCATTTTGCCTCAGTCCATGTTAAACGATCTCGGACCCAGAGAAGTTGGCGGCGTTTCTGGATCATGTTTAGACATGGTTTATTCTTTGGATGGTAGAGTTTCATCCCTCATTTGTGGATACAACACTGAACCATTTTCACAAACAATGGTTTTCTGAAGTGTTCTTGAACCCATGCAGTGATTTCACTATAGAATCGTGTGTTTTTAATGCAGTGCCGCCTGAGGACCTGAAGATCACTTCTATCCGATATTGGTTTTCGGCCTTGTCCCTTCCATACGGAGATTTGACCGGATTCTCTGAACCCTTTAATGAAATTATCTACCATAGATGATGAAATCCCCAAATACTTTACAATATTAGGTTGAGGACTGTTATTCTCAAATTATTTCACTATTTCCCTTTACAGCCGTTCTCAGAGTGGTGAATCTCTCCCAATCTTTACTGCACAGAGACATCCTCTCCGGGAGGCTCTTTTTATACCCAATCATCTTGCTGACCTGTTGCCAATTAACCTAATTAGTTGTGAAGTGTTCAACCAGGTGTATTGTTTTAGCATTACACAGCTTTTCCAATCTTTTGTTGCCCTGTTTTGAAATGTGTTGCTGGCATTAAATTCAAATGGAGCACATATTTATCATAGAACAATAACATTTCTCAGTTTCAATATTTGATGTATTGTCTTTGTTCCATTTTCAGTTAAATGGGGGTTTATATGATTTGCAAATCATTGCATTCTGTTTTACATTTTACCCAGCATCTCAACTTTTTTAGAAACGGGTTGTATTACCAAATAATGTTTTTTAGGATCTTATGGAATTATCAGTGTATGCTCTTGCATTAGTTATTTTCTTTGAGTTTACATCTGTCTTTGTCTTAATTGACATATTGTTTTAACATATTTTTCATAAACGTTGTTTTTTTTTACATTTGCAGGTCACTGTTCACCCTGGAAAACATCCAAACAGGTAAAGTCTGCTCCAGTGCTCATGCATTTGAGAACCCATGACATAGCCTCAAACAGCATTAGAATTACACTGTACGTTTTCTGTGAACGGGATTCATCTGTATGAATGTTTATACTGAGCTGGAATGAATTGGCCATCTTATTTCACATTTCTATTCATTTCTTCTTGCACACGTGCACATGCACTGAGAGTGTGTGTGAGACATGCAGTACAACCAGCCTAACCTCCTTTCATTTTCTCACAGCATAGTAATGATGCTGTGATACTGGCTCCCATGCGTTCTTCCCCTAGCCCTGCTCATGTACATTTGATCCTCGATCAGCAATAAAACACTTATAACTGGAATGCAGTTTCTCTGACTGCAGGAGTGTTGCTCAAAGCCTGGTCTTCTGCCAGAATCACAAGACATAGATAGACAATGCCAGAGAACTTCCAAACGCTTTGACAAACACAGGAGAGCAGTAGATACACACACAACAGTTCTGGACAAGATCCAAGGAGCAGTTGCAGACATAATTGGCAGAGCCTCGAAAATGTCTCCATCTTGGTGTTTTGATTCTAGCTTTAAGGAGCCAAGATAATTATGTTACCTCTCTCACTCTCTCTCTTTCTGTCTCTCAATCCTGGTATGAGATTACACTTGCATATGTGTGCGTGGGCATATGTACTGTACACATGCAACTAGTGGAAAGTAAGACAGCTATGATTTGTGCTGGATGAAGGTTATATGTAACGCTAGCAGTACACCGGTAGAATAAGCAGGTGAGCCGTTGTTCTGTTTGCAGGTAATGTCGCAGTGGGAACTGCAGGGGAGCCCCCAGACCAGCCTATCAACTCCGGGCCTCCTGCACAGCACCGGCCGCCCTGCACCCCACCCCCAGGGGGGGTCTGTACCAGACTCGGCTGACAGTATGGATTTGGGCATGCCTGACCCCTACGACCTATATGAGAAATCGCGGGCTATCTACGAGAGTGGACGTAAGCAAGGCTACTCTAGTTATTTGCAAGAGCAGGGCTGTCTAATATTATTTGTCAGTTGTTTGTATGACTTCATCATACTGTTATATTATCTTACTGTATTTCCAGGCCTTTGGCAGATTACATGGTATGTGGGCCAATAACTCAAAAACTATTTCATGGATCTTTCTCAACCTTTGCAGAGGCATTGTCGGGAGGGGGGGAATGGAAGTTGTTATTCTGCAGACATGGTGTAAGGTTGAAGATCTGAACCTGATCAAATTTTGAGACAAATGATCAATTTGAAGCAGGGTTGCATAATGATATCAGAGAAATGGCAATTTCAGACATTTGACCCATACTTTGTGTCTGCAGTTTCAAAACAGGAGTTCAGCCATCAAGCAACATGAAGTCATTTGTTGACAATATTCATTGTTGTTTTGTGGGCAAGGAATTGGTATACTTTAAGTGAAAGAGCCAAGAGATAAAAATATTCTGATGTGTAAATAATGTTGTTAATTGTAGCTAATCCCATGAATATACTATACTTTTTTTTTACATTTCAGTTATAGTGTGTAAGAGAAACTAGAAAAGAGAAACTGAATATAAATATTTAAATGTAGAAATAATATAATTGATATTTTCAAACAAGGTACTTAACACATACATAAAGGAATACAAGTAATCACCTACTTCGTGGGGATAAATTCTATAAATTGTCATTTAAGTGGAATGTGCAATAAATGAATAAGTATACTTTCAGAGAACACATTTATTAACTTTTACATTTCCAGGTGATCCATCCAGTCAGAACAGATATTGTACAAGTTGGTGAGTGTGAGATGAGTGTTGCTTAGATGGCTGGACCAAATGATAGGGCTGTCCAGGAAGTTCAATGCTGTCATTTTTGACGGCACCAAATTTAGTTGCATTTTATGGTGGCTTCGGGTATTACTTCATCAAATATACATCATACTATCTATAAAAGTCTATTGACCGTTCATCATGCTATTAACTAGAGCCACTAGATGTGAATACCATATCATAATATGAGTGTGAGCCTATTATCAATAATGCTTTCTGTTAAACTAACCACAAGTTACATCCATCACACGCTCTGTGAGAGTAGATGTATCTGATATCCATTATGTCTGCACGTGGGTGTAATTAGGAGCCATAATGTAGCATTGATAGAGGGGTTTGTAAGACTGAAGACCATCAATCTACCTACTGTATGAGCATTGGTGTGGCTGATCTCTATTGTGTGGCTTTGATCAGCATTAGTGGACTAATATGCTGTGTTCACATTCTTCTTGTTAATTAAATATGTCCCCTAAGACCAACATTCCTTTTTGGTCACAAGCTATTTATTAAAGGACGGCGAATGTTAGCGTTATTGTGAAATAAATACGTACATTTCAAAGAAGTTTGCACTTGATATAAAGTGAAAAGTGAACAGTCAGCTTCCTCAGAGGAGAAGATGAAAGGTGTTTTCAGCAGCTCTATCTTGAGATATTACATAACATTTCCTGTACTGCTTTGTGTTTGTGAATCCCCCAAATCCCTAGATTGTAATTGTTCTCCTCTAGGTCTGTAAGGTCATGGAGTTGCCTTTAATTATCAAGCTTTCTATAGCCTGGTCATAAGTCAGCTCCATAGTTATGGACCCCTGGTCACTCCTAAGTCGCCTGCGGTCAGATTCACACTTCTGCTTGTCTGCAGATTCCCACCCACATCTCCTGAGACACTCGCTTCCCTTTAGGAGCACAGTAGATCATTTCATCTCCCCAGACGGCCTCACACAGTGCTGAACAGAATCTCATCTTCAGATGGACTCATGCTTTCTGCTCTTGCGGTCTCAACCCACCCTAGGGCCTGATTACCAAGAGCTGGAAATTCACCTGCACAGGGAGGCGAACGGCTTTGGGTTTCGGATCCTGGGAGGAGACGAGGCGGTGCAGCCTGTGAGTCTGATATGGCTCCTGGGTGTGACAGAGGACACTCATTAATTCGTCATACTGAGAACTGAAGCCGGTGACAGACTCACCATTCAGTCACTCGCTGTGAACGAAAAGATGGCATTCACAGTCACACACTGGTCGCATTAACACACAATGTATACAAATACAGGAGACATTGTAGTCATAGAAACAATGTAGTCATAGAAACTGAATTCTAATTCTCATAAATTTTAAAGCACTGATTAGTTGCACACTCATGTCCCATATCACTTTTATCCTGTATATGGCACTAATGGTATATCTTGACCCTTGACCTTTGCACCCCCAGATTCTGATAGGAGCAGTCATCGAACAGAGCCCAGCAGAGCGGGATGGGCGGTTACGGCCAGGGGACGAGTTGGTGGCTGTGGACGGCGTGACAGTGGCTGGCAGAGCGCACAGACATGTCATTGACCTGATGCACGCAGCTGCCCGCAATGGAGAAGTCCGTCTCACTGTGAGGAGGAGAGTGCCGGGCACAGGTGGGTAAGGTGGCACTATCGTGTGAGCATGCCTTTGCCAGGTTAGTGTGAGGTCCTGACTGTGAGAGGGAGAGTGCCGGGCACAGGTGGGTAAGGTGGCACTATCGTGTGAGCATGCCTTTGCC